AGATATGTTAAATGACCATTCTAGAGGTTATCTGCCAACCCCTTGCTATGCAAAACAACTCAATAGCCCTGCTCCATGTTTCCCATCCCTCATCTCAGACTTGTGGGGGTGAGGACATCCCATACTTTTAATATTTCCTGGACACTGCAAGCTCTGGACCCCATTACAAATCCTTCTTTTGGGGGCCTCCTGGCTGCACCTTCCTACACTTGGAGATCTTCAAAAATCTCACCCTTTCTACTTCCCAGAAAAGAAGGTGGAGAGGATAAACTCTTTCCCAGGGTCTTGGCCCCACAGCAGCTCCCTCTACCCAGCTAGGCTTTCTCTGAACTTTGTGTCCAAAGATTTCCTCCCACTCTTCTCCCTCCCTTTCATGTCTGCATTCTCCCAATAAGGGGGAGAAAAAGACTTTATATATCTTGGGTTGGGAACTAGATGTTTCTGTATAAGGATATATATATGTCTGATGCTCTGTTCTAGATGTGAAATTTAGCAGGTTCATCTTCTCAGCTCTTGCTTCTGTGGCTTTGTTACAGAACAACAGGTCCAAGGGGGGTGATATTTGGCTCACCTAGGGATGCCAAAAACTGCTACAGAACAGGGGCCCCTCCCAAGGACAGAATACTAATATCTACTGGGCTCTTTTGTCCACCGCCAATTGGAAAGACATCTCTCAATGCCAGAGATTTGTGAAAAGGAAACAAAATGTTTATTTAGTGCTATTTAGGCTTACTGCCTCCACTAAAATGTCAAAGTCCTTTAGGGTATACACCTACACCCACACAGTGCTCCCTTCTCCCACTGTCCCAACTCTGGGTACCATACATCAGGAAAAGAGCACACGTCTGTGTTTCAGGCCGCTGGTATCATCAGTTGTGTCAGGCAGGATCTCTAGTTAATCCAAAGTACTGTGGTACCCTCTCATGGTTCACTGGCAAGAGTTCTTTGTACGCAGTTCCAGTCAAAATCTCTCCTGCTTGCCAGGCCATGCAGCCAAAGGGACACCCCAAAGCCTCATGGGCCTCTTCTACCAAAGTTGCAGGGGTTCGCACTCCACCAAAAGCATGTGTCTTTCTTCTTCACCTGGCTGCAGGGATCTCCATTCTGGCAAAGCTGCGTGGTTTTCCCTTTCACCTGGCTGCAAGGGTGTGCCCTTTCACCAAAACCACATGGTTCTCCCTTCTCTTCACCTCGGTGAAAGGGGGGTCTTAACTCTGCTGAAACCACATGGCTCTTTCTCCCTACATGACTGCAGGGGTCCTCACTCTGCCCCAAATCATGTGGCTCTCCCTTCAATGGCTGCCACGTCTTGGTTACTCCCTTCTCCCTGGCTCAAAGCATGTCCACAGCTATTTAACATATCTATGAAACCAGTTAAAGGTTATAGATATGTTAAATAATCATTCCAGAGGTTAGCTGCAAAACTGTTGCTATTCAAAATGGCTCTCAATGGCCCTGGCTCTATTTGTCTCTTCCCCCTGGGGCTGGGGGGGGGTGAGGACATCTTATATGTCTCTCCAATATTCTTATACATTTTGAATTCTGGACACTATTCCAAATCTTTTTTTTTGCCCTCCCCCCCTTGGCTGCACCCTGTATCAACTTCTTGATTCTGCTGAACTAAGGCAGCTAAGGGCCATCTGGCATGCAGGACACAGGTCCTCATCCCCAGTCCCCAAGACCATAGGTTTCTAGTTCCTCCCCAACCTGCCAAGGTTTCTGAAAGGTTCTCTTAGGCTCCACCGAGGAAGAAATGCCAATCAGCCACAAAGTTAGGCAGTATAGAGCTTTATTGGGGTTTGCGAGCCCGGGTGAGGTTCCCCAGCCCACAGAGTGGGACTGGGGAAGTGGCACCTAAGCAGGGAATGTGGCACCAGGAGGCAGGGGGTGTTATTTTGGTTGGCTCTCTTCAAGGGAGCTGGGGATTGGTCCCCTTTGAACAAAGCAGCAATATATCATTGGTGGTTCTCCTTGGGCTCAGGTTGCTATGTGGATAAAGCCCACCCTTTTGGCTCTCCAGTTTGACATCAGCCATCTTTTCCAGGTTGTCATTCAGCCACCATTTTGTCCTACCCTGTCCATCCTAACAGTTTCCTGTTCACTATTTCATCTACTGCAATTATATGCACGTACTTTTTTACTTTGTATTTTAAAAATAGTCTCTGAAGCAAATGCTTAAGTAAGGAGCCTCCATTTCCCATTATATTTTTAATTTTTTAATCCTCACTAGAGAATATGTTTTTATTGAGAGAGAGAGAGAAACATCAATGTAAAGAAGAAACAGTAATCTCTTGTCTCCCATATGCACCCTGACCTGGGATCAAACATGCAACCTAGGTATGTTCTCTGACTGAGGATCAAACCCACAACACCTTAGTGCATGGGACGATGTCCGAACCAAAAGAGTCACCTGGCCAGAGCTCCAGTTTCTGTTTATTAGTAATCCACTGGAATAAGTCCCCAGAGCTGTTGCAGGGCAACCTGGAGATGATGATTTCCACCAGAAGCAGACAGACTGCCTTTTAAATTGACTACTGGAGTTTATGGTAGTATAATATTTTGTCTGATCTTTGTCCTAGATCCCTGCAATGGAGTTTCTAAAACCCTTACATTTTCCTCAGTGATAGGAGTGTCTTTATTATGCTAACATGGGAAATCTTAGTGGGCCTCTAGATAGTGTCAGAATGGGGACTGGTCATCAGAAAGATTTACCCTGTGATTAGGGGGTAGGGGACTTTGGGCCAACCTGACCTTTGGGGAGAGGAGAAGACTGGAAATTGAATTCAATCACATAGCCAATGATTCTTATTTGTTTCTAATTTTATTATACATTTTTCCTTTTTATTTTATTATTCTTGTTCAATTACAGTTGTCCCCATCACCCCCTATTACTCTCCCCTTCCCTACCCACCCCCCACCTCCCACATTCAATCCTCCACTCCATTGTCCTTATCCATGGGTCCTTTATACATGTACCTTGACTTGATCCCTACCTATCTTTTCCCCACTCTTCTCCTCTGGTCACTCAGTTTGTTCTTTTTTTCCATGTGTCTAGTTCTATTTTGCTCACTTGTTTGCTTTGCTGATTAGGTTCCACTTATAGGTGAGATCATATGGTATTTGTCTTCCACTACCTGGCTCATTTCACTTAGCATAATGCTCTCCAGTTCCATCACATGGCTGATGATTCAATCAGTCATGCCTATATAATGGAAACCCAATAAAAACTCTGAATGCCCAGGCTCAGTGAATCTTCATGATTGGTAAATTCATAGCTGCCCCAAGAGAATGATGCTGCCTGACCATGGAGAGTGGACATGGAAGCATGGAATCTCTCTCCATTTGGTACATGCACACATACACACACACCTTGAACTACATATATCCCTTCAAAAAAGAAAACTTTAATCATTAGTATAATATAGCTTTCCTGAGTTCTATAAGTCATTCTAGAAAATGAGTCAATCTGGAGGGTATTGTGGGGACCTCCCAGACTGGTCACCAAATTGTGAGAAGTGTAAATGGCTTTGGGGATATAAATTGAAGCTGGTGTCTAAAGTGGAGGTGGTCTTGTGGGACTGTGCTGACTGTAGTGGTTAGACTTAGAATTGTGTTGCAATGTGCTCAGTGGGAGTGGAAGCAGAATAACTGTTATTAAGGATACTTTTCTGATTTCTAATACTAATGTTAAAATACTGGCATCGGTTTTAGATCTATCTTCATGTTGGGCATTACAGTTTGAAGCACTATCTCCTGGGTGAGCAGGTTTAGAAAGATCATTTAGCAGATTCTACTCCACTTTCAATAGTGTCCCCCAAAGACAGAGCCATGCATGCTTACAAATGCTGACATGCACATACATAGCCTCATGTCATTCTTTCAGCTCACATGCATTAATTGTCTGCTGGTGCTAGGTGCTGTGCTCTCTGCTTAAGTGCAGCAAGCTCAACTATTATTCCACAAACATCTGCATGTTTTTGCCTTTCTGGTGCTTGGCTTACATTCCTGAAGCTTGGGTACATTTCTTATTAATATTTTTATTTTTTCTTTAATACCAAGCACTGTACCACCCAGGTATCTGTGTAGCGATAACATTGTTGCAATATGGTATGGAGGACAGGTTCCTTCTCCCTTACATTCCATGTTATACTTCTCATTTCTGCCCACTTTGTTACCCTTTCTTGGTTGAAGGCTCATCTGGAATCAGCCAGCTCTCTCCTCATCTCCTCCCTTATGTAAAATCTTAATACCTTCACTCTTATTCCCTAAGAAACTCAAGGTGAGGGTGAAGTAGGTACACATTATTTGAGGCACTATTGAAGTCCACAGACACCTGGACATAACATCCCCCTGCAGCAACACACACTGAAGCATTGCCAATTCAGAACAATGGGTGGACTTCTGATGTGTTTCAGGCAGCCTCCCAGGCCTGTGGGAGACCATGGGAAATCAGATATGGTTGTCATCCTTTAGGAATACACAGCAATATTGCTGTACAATATATGAGCTTTGAGCTTTTGGCCATCTGATAAACAGGTAATAGTTGTCAAACTCTGCTCAACTCTCCTGCTTTGTTTCATCAAATTATTCAATTCATAATTGAATAAACCCAGTTTCAGGTAGAGGTTGTTGGCATGGTCCCTATTTTAAGCAGCTGTAAAAGTAGGAAGACAAACCCATCACCTAGTGACCCGGACAGGGTTTCCAAATACACATCCACTCTACCTCCTCTCTCCCAAGACTCTCAGCTGAGATGGTGGGACCTTTGCAGAGGATGGAGGTTGGGGGAAATAAGACAGCCAAATTTAGGAAAAGCTTCCCAATGATCCTGGTTTATGGTGCCCATTCTGACCCTCCTCAACAGGAACACTGCAAAGATAGACCGTCCCCACTGATCTCTCACATATGTCCACATTGGCTAACTGTAAACTTAACTGTTTTACAGGTTCATTCTCCCCTTGCTGCTTTAGGATGCCAGCTGCTGACCCCAGAGCCCTGCCATGAAACCTCACTTGAAGCTGTGGAGACGACGAACTCTTTGTGGGATGTTTGCTTGGGGGATCCTCTTCCTGGCGATTTTCGTTTACTTCACTGACAGCAACCCTGCTGAGCCTGCACCCAGCTCCTTTGCCTTCTTGGAGACCAGGAGGCTCCTGCCCATGCAGGGGAAGCAGAGGACCATCATGGGTGCCATGCAGGAGCCATCCTCACCAGAAAGTGTGGAGGCAAACAAGGGGCTGCCAGATGGACACGCCACAGGGCCTCACTATCAGCAGAAATGGACCCAGGTGCAAAGTGGAGTTAAAAATAAAGACGAGTTCTTTTCATCCCAGATTGGGAGAAAATCTCAAAGTACTTTCTACCCAGAGGACAACAACTACTTTTTTGCTGCTGGTCAGCCAGGGCCTCGCAGCCATACTCAGGGTGCATGGGAGTCGCATTTCCTCAGACACCCTGGCAGGTGGGAGGGGTTATCGATGGTGAAGAAAAGGCACCTGCATCAGAGGAACAGCCATTTGCTGGAGGAGGAGAATGATGGAGACAGATTGTATTCCTCAATGTCTAGAACCTTCCTGCACCAGCTGTGGAAGGGAAACATTTCCTCCAAGATGCTCAACCCGCGCCTGCAGAAGGCAATGAGGGACTACATGACCACTAATAAGCACGGCGTGCGTTTCCGCAGGAGGCGTGCGACGGGGCGGAGCCGGGGGGCTTTGCTGTGCTCGCTGCAGCGCCGGGTGCGAGTGCGCACGCTGGATGGCACAGAGCCCCCCTTCTCTGCGCTGGGCTGGCGGGGTCTGGTGCCTGCAGTGCCACTCAACCAGCTGCACCCACACGGCTTGCGCTCCTGCGCCGTGGTCATGTCTGCTGGTGCCATCCTCAACTCCTCCTTGGGGGAGGAGATAGGTGGGTGTGGTCGTGGGGATTCTGCTGGGCTTGGTGCTTTATTAGAGTTGGCTGTGTCTCCAACCTTCCTCTGGTTCCCACTGGCAGTGCACACTTGGGGCTTAGCGCTGGGTGTTCTGGACATTGACTAGAGTGCTTTTTTCTTTTCCTTTTCCTTTCCTTTCTTTTCTTTTCCTTTCCTTTCTTTCCTTCCTTTTTTCTTTCTTCCTTTCTTTTCCTTCCTTTCTTGTTTTTCCTTCCTTCCTTCCTTTCTTTATTTCTCTTTATTTATTTATTTTTTGTAGTTGGGTCTGAAAGACCCTGTTTGGGATCCCAGGAAAGGTATCCTTTGAGGCAGGCAGTTTTAGAGCAGAGGTGTGCTCTCCATTGCTGGGTGCCAGGAGGCATGAAAGGCCAGCTCCCCCATCTTTTGCAGCTGAGACCTTCCTCACTGCCTGGTCTCTGTATTCAGCTCCCTTAGAAGCCATGTTCTGAGTTGATAGTCTCCCAGCCTGGTCCTCAAAAGCCTGATGAACCTGTAGTGTGGCAGAGTTATGGGTCATAAATAAGAGGGTGAGAAAGGAAAGCAAATTCCCACAGGAATAAGGCAGTTAGTCATGCCACCTCCAAAGAATAGTATTCATGATGATTGTAGTTGGTTGTTAAACCGATGTGTAGGCTTTGAGTACAGCCCAATTACTCAAAAGATGTTGAGAGAACATCTTTCCTATTGCCACAGTGAGTTCTGACCTTCGACCCATTGGTACCAATCTCACCTTTGGTCATAGCTGGTGCACCTAGCAGGGATCTTCTCTCAAATGGTAAATAACAGGACCGCATCCCAGACTCCCCATCTTCAAATCCACGTGAAGAGCCTTGAGGACAGTCTGTTTCATAGTTCCTGTAATTAAGCCTGACCGAGAACCAGACTGATGGAATATATATGTAGAGAGAAAGATTTATTTTAAGGGCTTGCGCTTATGATTGTTGGGACTGATAATTCTGTAATTTGTAGGACAGGCTGGTGGGTGGGAAACTCAGGGTTACAGTCTTGATGTAGAAATCCTTCTTCAGGAAACTTCAGTCTTTGCTCTAAGGACTTTGGCTTCCCTCCATTCCCAAGCTAATTCTGTTGCTGTACCAGTGAGCAAGCAGCTTGGCCCTTTAGGCCCATTAACTCATTTAACAAACAGGCATTTAGCCCCTACTATGTGCCAGTTTCTGTGCTCAGTGCCAAAGGATAAATGTGAATCAGACAGACTCAGCCTGAAATGCCAATGTAAAACAACCAAGTCTAATACATTCTCACAATAGGTAGTGTTACTTGTAACTAATCTGGAAGTGACAATCAGGGTGTATCACCTACTCATTAGAAAGGAATACCTTTTGTTTCCTGGACCCATTAGCTGTTCTGTGTCCTTTAGGAGTGGTTGATATTCTGAATATCAGCCATTTTTAAAATCAGGCTTCACAACTCAGACTTCATCTCAGATGCTCTTGGGAATGAGACTAAAAGTGAAATATTTTTAAAGTTAAAAAAAGTGATACAAGTCTAGATTTGAGGTCTGGAGTCCCAGTATCCCTGTGCTGACATTACAGTGGTCTTAAAATAACACTGTCCATGTGTCACATAAATGTGTAGCCAAGGCTGGAGCAGAACAGCCTTCAATTAACGAGGAAAAGCAGTGGTTTAGAGGTACCCAGAGTGAAGTAATGTCACAGTTCTTCCTTGTTTCCAGGACCATTGTTAATAATGTAAGAAGGAATTTAAGTGTTATGCTTTAAAGCAGGCAGTAACTGGCTTCTGGTTTTGTTTTGCAGTGTTTAAACACTTCTGAATCATAGCTGCAAATCTGGATTGCTCTTGCCTGTTAGTGAGAATTGCCCTGCTCTTTATTCTTCCATAAATGTCTCTGACCAGAGTCTCATAAACCTTTTCAGAATTTGAAATAGAGTATGAAAGACACTGGACATTACATGCTTTGGAGGAATGGGAAATATCACTTACATCTTTGTTAATTTCTAGTATCCAGATTTAATTTATATTGTATGCACTCTCATGAGGCTTTGTGATTAGAATTGTAGAATCTTAACTGAAAAACACAAGTATTTACAGTTTTCTGTTATTTTGCTTAGGTTCCTTTGAATCCAGTTTTGTACCTACCATTTTAAGAATATATTATCAAAGCATAATACAATAGTAAAAATGAAAACTACTTCACTTTTATAAGATACTATCTCTTAGCATCAGCTCTTGCCCATGTGAGGTGGTGAGTTTCTCCTTCCTACTCACCCAAATGTATACATGCTTATCAACATATAGTTATTAATGGTTCTATTAATAAACACAAAGTCACCAGTAGATTCCTCCAGGCAACCTGGAATATTGAAGCATGCTGTACTATTTAGCTAAATTCATCTTGACCCCCCAAAAATCAAAAACATAGTTTTATTAAGAAAAACTGAGGGCACAGCTAAGAAAGTGCCTGGGGCTAGCTAGCTCAATGTCAGTGCAGCCAGAAGGCCCTTGCCAATGAACTGGCCCTGAATATCTAGCAATCACCATCCCTCACCCATAGAGGAAGACTCAGTTGCCCTCAGGTTTCTGTTTTGGCTGGCTTCCCTCTAGCTCCCTCTGCTGGTTCTATTGGCAGTGCAGTCCTGTTTTCCAGTTCTGTTAGACTGAGTTATGCTCTGTAATTGTTTTTAAAAACATTGTAGCAGTTGTCAACACCTCCACTTTGAATATGTTATTGAAAAGGAAACTGAACTGTTAGGCAACTGTGGGGCATTTTTTCTAGAATCAGTGCGATCTTTTTTCACCCACACATATAAACAATAATGTGGTAGTAAGTTCAACTGCCAGCAGTCCTGTGGAAACACACTGCAGTGAACTGTTTACTCAGATCTAACAGTGGTGGCCTTGATATGGGAGATCAGGACCTGCATACTTGAAACTCAAGTTTTGGAAAGTGTATGAGAAAAGGGGAGAGGGAGTGTATAGGGAGTGGAGCATATAGTACTACCCTGGAGGCAGAGTCTGGATTTGCCATCTCCTGTTAAAAAATAAACAAACCAACCAACAAATAAATAAAAGCAAGAAAGATCATATAGTCATTCACCAAGCATTGAATATTTATTGATCCCCATCTCTCTGAGGCCTGGTAACTATGCTAGTGATTAGTGACCCAAAGATGAATAGGGAACAGACATAAACCTCAAATCCTCCGTAGTCTAGTGAGGAAAATAGACTGAGAACAGGCTATGGAAATACCGTGGTTAGGAGAAAGACTGAGAGAAAAGGAAGAGGGCAGAATCTTAACCATGGTAAGGGCTGGTGCCTGGGGAGAGAGAAGAGGTTAGCAAACACTGACCAGAAGAGGGAAATCCAGGTCACAGATGCAGCATTCAGGTGAAGTGAGTTGGAGGGGTAGCATGGGGCTGGGAGGTGAGAGGAAAGAAAGCTGGATAGGTGGGCAGGAGGTCAGCTCCAAGATGTGCTTCGGCACCCTTCTCCAGAAGTTAGACTTCACTCAATGATTGTAATCATAGGTAGGGTGTTACAGTACCAAATGCTTTTATGTGGTAACTGCTGTAGTCTTTCTTGCAAACCTAAGTAATAGATTGATTATTCCTGTCTTATGGATAAGGAAATGTAGGCACCTAGAAGGCCCAGTGGGTGGAGCCTGGATTTCATCCAACCCCAATCTGGGTCTCCAGAAACTCCAGCTTTGACTCCGGGGCTCATGATGAGAGGCACTGCAATCTTTGAAGCAGAGGAGTGATGGGTCAACTTCTTATTTTAGAGAGATGACTCCAGAGCCTAGGTTTGATGGCATGAAGAAAGTAAGTCATACTGCAGAAGTCCCGAGAAAGGTGAGTCAGACCAGGGTGGTGGAGTCAGAAGACAGATGAATTCCCTTTAAAAGGCAGGCTTTTACTTTCTTATTCTTGCAAATTTTGTTTTCTGGATGAGTTTAGGAGAGGAGGGGAAGGGAATGGACACAGTGCCCACAGCAGGGCAGTGACTGCTTGTGGGCCTTCTGGCTGGCTGCTCTCTGAAGGGCTTTAATCTTCCTTCAGTGTGTGCATTTAGACTGGCTTTGTTCTCAAGTCAACATAAACTGGCTCCAACCTAAAAATAAATGCCTTTTCTGGAAATAGTGCCTTACTTTATTCCCTTTATGCTTGCTGTCCTGTTTCTTCTTTTCTAAATGTGAATGGACAGCTTCATTTTTAAGGTTTATTATCATGGTGGTTCACACACAAACAGATATATGTTTACAAAAAATGTCTGTCTGATGGGTACACTCTCAGCTAATCCTCCCCATACCGCCCTCCCACCTTGCCAGATTCTGCTCACAGACAGCTTTAAGAGCTTCAGTCCACATCTACTCAGCCTCAGCTCTACCTCTCTGCTTCCACCACAAAATTAACCTTTTAATTCTTCAGGCTTCTACTGTTACAGAAAAATCAGCCGCTTTTGGGTGTATGGAGTGGAACTTTATTTTAAATGCGTGGACCCAGAGTAGTCGGTCTCCAAATTCTGGGCCCTGAGCAGTGGGGGAGCAGTTATTTTTATAGAGCAAGGGAGAACCTGTCCTTTGGACCATTACTTCTGGCGTGAAAGCAGGAGGCAGCTTACAGAAGCAGAAGGAGCAGAGCGTTATCTCTGGCATGTAGATGATAAATAGTCCACAGAGGCCAAAAGAAAAACAAATCACTCTCTAGTCACTGTGCTGTGTCTTAAAATAGCTATCAATTTCCCCCAACATTTCCCCCCTTTGATGCTTGACAGCACTGTTAGCTGGTCTAGCATCACTATAAGGCTGACCTATAAATCTTGGGGTATCTTCTGATAATGATGTCTCTGGAGGGACAGGATCTTGGTGGTTGTTCTGCAAGTCACTGTGGCCTCGAGACTCTGGACTGTGGTCCATAGTATACAGAGGCCAAAACTCAGGCCTAAGAAAATGATGATTAGGGGTCCCAGGAAGGGGAGCAGCCACTGAAGCCAGGCT